AACGAACAAATGAATGGATGAATGGGGATGCTCCCTTTGAGGAGAGCCATGTGGTATGGGCAGAGGGCAGCAGGGACTGGTCAGCTCACTGCCCGACTTCCTCTCCCCCACCCTCAGTGTCCACATCTGTAGCCCTGGAGTCTCGACCTTGTTAAAGGCAGTTCTTCTGACAGGCAGGGAAGGAGGTTAAGGGTGGACCCTTGTCAGCAAGTACAGGTGGGGAGAGGAGCTCATGAACCCCGCCATGCTGGTTTGGGTTGGGACGGAGTGGTAGCAAACGCTGGGCTGCAGGACCGGGGCTGTATACAGCCTCTCACCTGCTCCCCTGAAGGACTCTGGCTCCACGTTTCTTCCAGCAGCTTTCTGCTAGCCATCTTTTTACCTCCACGCCTACAATGGCACCCTCCTTACCTTACACCTGGACTGGTACAAATGCCTCCTGACCCACGCTGTCTTCCCACATTTCCTCCCACTCGTCCATCCTGCATGGGCATTCTCTAGCTTGAGAATCTGTAATGGCTTCTTTACACTGGGAAAAACGAAACACTATCTTGGAGCACTAATTCACATGTTTGCCTGCTTCAGTGCTCCATGAGTTATTGGAAGGCACACTGCCTGTGTGGTTTAATTTCTCCAGGGCCCAGGGCAGTGGCTGGCAGAGTGGGTGCGCATGGAACAATCTCTGCTACAAGAGTGTCCCTCACCAGTTCCATTCTGTGTTCAGCAGGTAATGCCCTACACTGCACATTAGGGCACTTCATTGTAAATGTAGCTAGCTACCTTTTTCATGTGTATGGCTCTTGTTTGTCCTCTTTAAAATCAGGGGGCTTTGGAAGACAGATTCATATTCTCTTATCTCCACCATTTCTCAGGACTGATACCACTACTAGGTACATGTTTGCTGTTGTTTACTTGCTCAGTCCCGTCCAACTCTGCAACCCCATGGGCTGTAGCTCACCATGCTCCTCTGCCCATGGGATTCTCCAGGCAAGAATCTTGGAGTGGGTTGCCATGCCCTCTTTCAGGGAAATTTTCCTGACCCAGGGATTGAACCTGCATCTCTTCTGTCTCCTGCATTGGCAGGCAGGTTCTTTAACACTACCACCACCTGGGTTATATACTTTCAGATGGCAAAAGAAAAACCAGCATTAAGAATCTGAGCACAGAAGGGCTGGATCTGGGGTCATAAGTACTTGCAAGCAGACTGGTGGATTTGGGCAAATTGCCTGGAAGCCTAGTTTGAGGGCTAGAACATTGTCTCTGGTTCTAAATTTTGCTTATCAGAAAAGATGACTTTTGTCTAGTGATCTGGAGACTATCTATAGTCTTAACATGTTTAAGGGAAACAAAAAGGAGGGTGGGGAATGGTGGCCACAGAACTTGGTGTGCTTTCATTATTTCTAAAAATGTGAGAAACTGGTTCAGAATGACACTGATTGGACCACTTTCTAGGTAGACACCTTTTCACCTCCACAGAGGTTCTATAGGCACCTATGTGTTATAATGACCAATTAGAACACTTAGATGTTGCAACTGTATGCAATTTATAAATAGTTTATAAAGTCTTTGAAAATGGGAAGTGCTAGGCAAGTACTCAAGTTGTTATATATTAAAAAAGCCTTTAGCATATAATCATTTTATTTAATAATTGCCTCTTTAAAAGGCATAGGTATTTTATAGCTGAACAGAATTTCTGAGCTTGAACCATTGATATTATTGCTGTTAGTAAATCAGAAATACTGAGTAAGGTTTTTCAGTTTCTCTAAGTAAATATATGATTCATATCAATCTCCCTCACTTTCTCATAGACCAATTCTGCCTTCCCTTAGGTTCTGACAAACTTTTTGCAAAGATTCTTCTCTGGTCTCCAGGACTCTTGGTTATCCTGCCTGCCTTGCCCTGTTTTTTCCTTTCACACACCTGCCTTGTGAAGGTGTTTTTGTAAGAACCTGTGTTTAGGGCTGGGCTTGCCTGGTGGCTCAGCTGGTAAAGAATCCACCTGCAATGCAGAAGACCTGAGTTGGGAAGATACCCTGGAGAAGGAAAAGGCTACCCATGCTAGTATTCTGGCCTGGAGAATTCCATGGACTGTGTCCATGGGGTTGCAGAGTCAGACACAACTGAGCAACTTTCACTTTCACTTCAGTTTTCCTGGTGGCTCAGTGGTAAAAGAATCTGCCTGCCAATACAGAAGACACGGGTTCGATCCCTGGGTCAGGAAGATCCCCTGGAGGAGGAAATCCTCTCCAGTATTCTTGCCTGGGAAACCCCATGGACAGAGGAGCCTGGTGGGCTATAGTCATGGGGTCGCAAAGAGTCAGACATGACTGAAGCGACTATACAACAAACAGATTTAAGACTCCATGCCAAATCATGAGTGATGATGAGCCCTTTTAGGAGCAAGGAGGCCATGAGATGTGGCGGGTGGCCACCAATGGGTGCATCCCCCACAGGTACTGTTACTGATTACTTCAGTCTACTGTCACCATTCTGCACTGCTGTGTCCACTAATTAAATTTGGCCTTCACTCCTGACAGGTCTTGGCTCATAGGTATTAAATTTCATTTAAGTTATCCTGTTCCCGGTCCCCACTGAACTACTCATAGGCAGAACTTTAGAAGAGGCAAATGAGTGTTTGATCATTTCCCACTGATCCCTTTAGGACTTCCCTGCATCTTCAAGTGCTGAGTTCCTTATGCTGACATTGGCTTTCTGTTAACTGTCTATTACTGTCTGTCACCCTAGGAGAGTGTTCCCTGTCCTTGTCCTGGAACTTTTGATCTTTCCCCATCCACTCCTGCTCCCACTTAAATTTAGCCTCTAATGTCCTACAGTGTATTTTCTTTATTGGAAAACCCAAACGAAGCCATTCTTCTGTACCAGGGTTAATATTTAGCCTTTGTAGGCACTAAATTAATGCTGCCAGCTGCCCAGTGACTTTCCTGTTAATTTCAGCCAACATTTTTTTGTCCTCAAGTGACTCATTCATCACTCTCCTCTTTGAAAGCACTGTCTTCTACAACTTGACTTTCTACAGGCTTCCCCACCAACTCATTGGTTGCTCTTCTACCAACCTTTAAATACTGAGCTTGCCCAAGGCTTGGCTTGGACTCTCTTCTTTATCACTCCAGTTTTTATGCATTTACCTCATCTTTGTGGCAAGAACTAACAAAGTTGATCTCTACTTGAATCTCTTTGATGGCCTTCAACTCGTATCTACTGACTACCTCATTCAACATGGAACTTCTGAATTCTCCACCTCCCAACCAATCCCCTCCCTGCAACCCAAGTTTTCCATCACTCCACCTCCCAACGAATTTTCCCCTCTAAGCTTCCCATTTCAGTAAATTTAGCCCCAAATCTAGGTGGAAATCATCCTTCTCTTTCCTCATCTTCTACAGCCACTTCCTGAGGTCTACCAATTCTGTACCATTTGGCTCTCAAACGTATCTCAAATCCTCTCTTGTCTCCACCACTAGCTTATGGCCCTTCCAGCTCTTACAGTTTGCCTGCTTCTACCTTGGCCTCTCCACAGTCCATTCTGCCACACTGTCATCGGATACCTTCCCCTTGTACTTTCCAAAGTCCCTGCCCCAGAGCTCTTTCCCTGGAGCCTCTCACAGGCCTTTGTCCTCCCAGCTTGCCCTGCTCTAGACATGCAGATCTCTTTTCAAGGCCTTTGATTCCTCAGACCACTGGTGTTCTGCTTCAGGGCTTCTGCAAAGTACCATTCCCCCAGAATGCTTTTCTTTTTTGCATGGCCAGCTCCTTATCTTCCTGTAATCTCTGGGAGATCCTCTCTGACTTCCATACCTAAAGCAGATTCCCCTCTCAACTAGGGTGGGGCTGGGCTCAGGTTCTGAGGTTGACAGATATGTAGGATGAATTATCAGTCAAATTGGGGTAGGACAGGTATGATACAAGGTTGAATACACAAGGTATAAGACACAAGGTTGAAGGGCAGCTGTTAAGTGTGATTCACCAGTATTTTAGGTTTCCTCAAAAATCATTTTCTGCACATTCAATATTCCTCCTGTTTTTACTTTCTCTCAAATACTGTTTCTTTTCATGGAAACGTGTGCTGTACTGAGATACCTACCCAAGGATTGAAAATGTTATCTGGTCATCCCAGTTGTCTCCTCCTATATTAGGGTCCTGAAATCACAGCACTAAACTGGAATCTGTCCTCTAAACACTACCATAAAGATGAAGCCCAAGACCACTTAACTTCTCTCACGTGAAACCAGAATTCTCTCAAATTATTTTCGTCCTTTGCACAATCTCCCAATCATAGCAAAAGATGCAATTCTCATAAATTACTAAAAAATATCTAGGAAGAGGCCAAATCTTCCCCTCACTCCCACCTTTCTTTTCTAAACCATCCATAGCCTATGTGGGGTCATGCTCTATGGCATGGGGTCTTGAACCTCCCCGCCTCAGGTAGGTACCTTCTATCAGATCAGCAGCAGCATTAGATTAGAAATAAAGTGCACAATAAATGCAATGTTTTCGAATCATTGTGAGACCATCCTTCCCACCCCCGGTCCATGGAGAAATTTGTCTTCCACAAAATCAGTCCCTGGTACCCAAAAGGTTGGGACCACTGCTCTACATAATCTTTCCCTCTCCTCTAGTCACAGGAGTGCATGCACATCCGTTTTAATTCCCTCCATCAAGGTCTTTCTCTAGGTGCCTGGTTATTTTTTTCCTCACTTTCAATCTTGGTTCAATTAAAAGGGAAAAAAACACAAAATCCTAAGAGTACACCTCCAGAACAAAGGAACAGAAACCACTCAAATCAGTTTAAGTACAAGAGGGAATTTATTAGCAGAATACAGTTTCTCGCAGGGACTCCAACAGCTAAGATGAGTTATGAGCTAGAAGCAGGCCCTTCTGCAGGTCGCATTGTGCTGTCACCACAATCTTTTACTTCTGGGTTTCGCCAAGAGCACATACAGAATATCCTAGACGTCAGTTCTCCCTGTATGGTGTGTGAGGGACTAGAATGTGGCTTCGTTTCTGCTGGCCTTTTGATCTTTATATTCCTTTATGCTGGCCTCGAACTTGTCAAGCACATGCTGGCAGACATTCATGAGCTCAGTCAGGCCTCTCTGAAAGGGCTCGACCGCGGGAAGGGCACCTCGGGTCTGTATGCGCAAGTTAATTTTGCTCTCTGAAGGATGGGTTGTAGTGTAACCACAGAATTCCACTTCCGGGTTCTTCATGATCATGTACCGGAGAGAATTTCCTAGGGTATGGTCCTCCTCGTGCAACACAAATGTCACACAGTGTCTATCTGTCCCAGCTGCCTGGACCATCTCCAGGGCTGTCTTCCTCTCGCCTTCAGCCATTGAGGTCTTCACTCCAGACATTTTTCTACACACATAGTTTTTATAAAAATGAGATCATACTGAGTACGGTTTTGAAACTAGCTTTTTTAAAAAAATCTATCAATTGCAACAGGTTACTGCTCTAACGCACTCCAATTACACAGAACTATTAGCATTAGCCCTTATTATTATCTTCTCCTGCCTCCACCTATTCTACCACTAAATAATTTACTGCCTCCAGTTTCTCTACTCCATTTGGCCGTCCACATGGTGACCAAGGGAAGTGTCCTTCAACAAAAAGTTTGCTAAAATATTCTTTTGGTAGAGTCACAAGAAAAGGGGCAGGATTAGAATAGGGTGGGTCCTGTTAAAGGATGAAAAGGGGAGTTGAAAGGCATGAGGGAAACGCAGATGATAAAAAATAGAACCTAAAGTTCATCAACGTGCAGTTTTCCGACTATGGTTTCCGTTTACAGGAGGTACGGAAACTAGAAAGTCTGAGAAGTCTCCAAGCACGGGGAAAAAAGAGCACTCGGCGCACACAGACGACCAATTAGCGCTCGGCCCAGAGGAGTGGCCTGGGCCTGGCTCATAGGCCAAGCCCATCACTCGGGGAACGGTGGCCGGGTGCACGTTATCTTTTACTGACTCTGGCTGTTCCTAACGGGGATGGGCCGTTGGTCACTGAACTCCGCTCACACAACCCGTCCTCCCTCCTTGGTATCTAGTGTACTGAGCGTCTCCACTCAAGCAATCCAGCTCCCCCGCACCCCTCCCCAATTCGGGGCCCCGTTCCCCGCCCTGGCGCGCCCACCGCGCCCCCTCCTCGCCCGTCCTCCTGGTCAGGCCCTCGCTGCCAGGCCGGGCCGCGGAGGCGGAGGCCTCGGCCGGCCGCCGGCTCCGGGGCCCGGCGCGGCCCGCTCCTCCCGTCCCCCCTCCCCCTCGGCCGTTACCTCTCCAGCTCCTGGTCCTCTTCCATGGCGGGGGCGGCTTCCGGGATCCTCAGGTGGCGCGGGCGGGCCGGAGGCTCTGCCCCATGCCTCGAAACGTGCGGGCGCGGCAGGCAGACAGGCAGGAAGGAAGGACCGACGGAAGGAGTGCGGACGGAAGAAGAGGGGAGGAGCCGCAGCGGCGCGGCAGGGCCCAGCCGCTGGGCGGGTCGTGGAGGCTCCGCCCCTTGCCCCCGCCCCGGCCCCGCCCCCGGCGCGAGGAGGGCGGTGGCCGAGCCTGAGCCGCTCACCTGAGCTAAGTGAGCCCGCTCGCCGAGCGGGTGGTGGCAGACAGGTGGAGCCGGGCTCCTGCCCCGCCCCGAGGCCGAGACCTGCCTGTGAGCGCCAGAGCTCGGCCCTTGGCACCTCCCCCCACACCGCAGGTGATGGCAGAAGGGGCGGGGCCTTACCTGACTCCCCCAGATCCCCTTTTTCCTCTGGGGCCAGGATCAAGCCTCTTTCTGACTTGATGCTGGCCCTCTGGCAGTGTAGCAGTGTCAGTCGCTTCAGTCATGTCCGGCTCTTTGCACCCCACGAACTGTAGCCCGCCAGGCTCCTCTGTCCATGGGGTTCTCCAGGCAAGAATACTGGAATGGAGTATTGCTATACCCTTCTCCGGGGAATCTCCCCGACCCAGGGATCGAACCCAGATCTCCTGCATTGCAGGCGGATTCTTTACCATCTGAACCACCGGGGAAGATCTTGGCCCCGTGGGGGACGGGATTAATCCCAGGCTGGACCCCCCCGCCCCGGGAGGCCTTTCCGGGGACAACGGACAGCTATAGTTGATCGATATATTTTGATGAATTTCACAACAGAACAATATGCACGTGTAAGACGGTGTTTGTCTCATCCGCGATCTTGAGTGGTTTCACAGCTCAACTGGGTCAAAGGACAAGCGTTTGTTTATTTTTGCGGGGGGGGCGGGAGTGGGGGTGAGGATGAGCGAGTTTGGATGTAAACCGTCCCCATCTCGCATCCCCATCCTTTCCTTCCTGGGATCTTTTTCTCTCCCTGGAGTACGTCCTGCTTCGCTTTGGACACGTCCTTTCCTCTTCACCCTTTTGGCCTCTTCAACCTCCTCACCCGCGGAACTTCCCTCTCACCTTCGTTCCCAGGTGCTCGTGCCCCCGCCTCGGCAGCCTTTCACCACCCAGGCTTGCTCTCCGCGCCTCGACCCCTCAGGTGTTCTTTACCAACCCCCCCCTTCTCCCTTCCTGTCCCCCCTCACCCCCGCCAGCTCGCGTCCCTTCCCCCCCACCCCGACCCCCGCTGTCCTCTAGCCTGACACGCCCACAGTCCAGCTTTTCGGCGCCACCTGTTCTCCTTACCCTACCCCCGACCCCCTAGATGTTCCCCGCCTCCCCCAGCTGTTCCCCTGTCCTCGCGCGGTCGGCAGTGAGCGCAGAGGCGGCACTAGCCCCGCGCCGGGGGCTTCAAGGCGGACAGCGGAGGGGACGGCTGGAGGCGGGGGGGTGGGGAGGGAGGGCGCGCGGCGGGGGGGTGGGGAGGGAGGGCGCGCGGCGGGGGGGCTGAGCGGGCTCACTCTAACCCGGAGTGACGGCCCGGGCCCGGCCCGCCCCTCGCACTCTCGGATAGGTGGAGCCGCCCTCTGGCCCGCCCCCTCCCGCCCTGTGCTGCTGCCAATTGGCCAGGGTGCGTGTCGGCTTGCGTGGCTCGGCCCTGGCGTTCGCCCGCGGGAAGGCAGCAGGGGCGGTTGAGGAGCGAAGTCTTGACTAGAGTTTGCTCCTTGCCAGGAAATCTGCGGCGGCGGCGGCAGGTCCCGGCGGAGCGGAGGCCGGCTGGCCCCCGCGCTCCCTCAGCGGGACCGCGGAAGCGGAGCCGACGCTCGGCTGAGGCGCGGGAGCCGGGCTCTCCCGGTGAGTAACTTTGCCCTGCCCGGCGCGCTCGGCGCCCGCTCGCGGTCCGGCCGCGCCTCAGGTGCGGGCGGCGTGTGGGGTGTGGGGCGTCGTGGCGCCCGGGAGGCGGCGGAGGCGGGCGGCCGAGGCGTCCTTCGCGCTCTTCTGGCCCGGCCGGGCTGTGGGGACACGGGGTCCGCGGAGGAGAGCGCGGGGTTGCCGGGCGCCGGCGGGGGCGGGCGGCCTCGGTTCTGACAGTCTGGGGGGTCCCGGCCGCCGGGTGGCCGAGCTTTTTGCGTCGTTTGCTCCAGTTTTAGGGAGGGGAGAGGTGGGGTGAGATTTTTGTCCCCTGAGTGTCTGTGGCCGTGGGTGAGAGAGCCACCGGCTGCCTTACCCGGTCTTGTCCCCGTTTGGAAGGAGCGGGGCGAGGTCGTACGCTCCGTCCCAGCCTGTTGCCCGCGAATTCTCACCTTTCCCTGGAGGCTGGAGAGGGTGGTAGAGAGACGTGACGCCCTGGAGGGGAGTAATTTCAAAACACGGCCCTTGACTTGGAAGCAGCCGCACACAAAGCACCGTTCAGGAAGGACCTCACTCGCTTTTCAGAACCTCCTGCCCAGATCTAGACGAAGGACTTGCGGCGTAGATGTAGCGTTTCTTCGGAGGTTTCTGTGTGCATTTACGGTTATGAATCGGGACGTTCAGTATATGCCAGGAACTACAGTACGCTCATGCCTGGGCTTAACTCTGGTAGATGGTTGCTTTTTAAATTACAGAAATGAAGTTGAGCGAAAAGCAGTGGCGATTCAGGAGGGGGAAACAGTTGTGAGCTTTGGTTTATTGCAACTGTCTTCGCTTTTAAAATTTCGCATTCTGGCCGCAGTCATACTAATTTCTAAATTGGTCTCAGGACAGATTTTGATTTTTTTTTCTCTCTTTCTTGCGCCATACTGTGACGTAGCCCTGGTGAGTTCATCCTAGTAGATCAATATTGTTTACTTGGATAGATTTGATTCCCATCCCCTCACCCCTTTAGACAATGGACTTTCATCTTGTATCCTTTTTGGCCTGTCTGAGCTTTCTGGAGTCACGAATAACAAAAGTTGTGCCCTTTTAGCTTGTCCAGTCCTGCACGTGAGTTTTCCCGTAGGAGTAAAAATGTAGGCCAGTTTGTAACCCAGGCAAAATAACTGCTGCTGCTTTTAATGTGGCCCACCTGTGTGTTAGCATTCCTAATTCTGTGTCTTGTTCCTCTCCTTTTCTCATCAGGTTATACTTTTTCCATTATTTATTCATTCAGCAGATGGTCTTCTGCAAACCGGACATGCTTGGCAAGGGTCAGCTCTTGCCCTGAACTGGCTCACAGTGCTGTTTGGAAGCCAGTATATGCCTCTCTTCGACCAGCCACCTGAAAGCGATTTGAGCGGGTGTTGAGGGACTTTAAAAGAGGGAGAATTTCTGCCTGGAGTTTGTTAGGGAAGGCCTCACACCTGCACTTACTCTTCAGGTGGCTGGGGGATTTTCGTTCTCTGCGAAGGGACTAGCATGTAGGGCTTTGCTTTATGAGAGCTGCATCTGGTTACTCTGGCTGAAGAACATGGTGTCTGCAGTTGGAGTCGTGGTCAGGGCCTGGGATGTGTTATTCATTTCGGAGCACTTAGCACTTGGCCTTGCTTACAGTGGGCACTCAAATATTTATTGAACTGAGTTGAACAGGAACATAAAGGATTTTGTATGCCAAATTAAGAAATTTGGACTTGATCCAGTCAGCGATATGGAGCTGCCAAGTTTAAGCAGGAGAATGTCATGATAACATTTGCCTTCCAGAAGGATGTCTGTGGCAGGCTGAAGGTTGGTGGGGGTCCAGATGGGAGGTAGGGAGATGGCGCAGGGCCTCTTAAATCCTCGAGGGTTTAAGTGCTCAGCACTTCTCAATTCATATTGTCTGGGTTTGGATCTGGCTCTGTCACTCATTACGTAACCTCTTTCTTCTTTAGGGTCTTCACTTCATAGGATTTGGGGGATAAAGCTTGAAAAACATGTATGTTACTTAGAATAGTGCTTGGCACATAGGAAGGATTCGGTAGATGCTGTTTTTTGTTCTCTGTGAAGGCAGTGGAAGTAGAGATGATGTGGCATCCAGGAGGTATAATTGGTCCAACCAGATAGGTGACTGCGAATGATTAATGAGAGAGGGATGGTTAGGAGGGTTTTTGACTTGGGGGCATTGGAGTATACTGGTTAAGCTGGCTGTGGAGTCAGAACGGGGTTGAATTCCATCACTTATTCTGAGCACTACTGTCCTCACTGAACTTTGGTTTCCTAACATTTAGAAAATGAAGTATACCTGTCTAGTGGGGTTTGAGGATCAAATGAAATTACGCATTAATGCCCTTGGCAGAGTACCTAGCACATTACAAGTGCTCAATAAATATTGGTTGTTCCTGAAGTGGTTATGACATTAAAGAGCTAGTGGAGTGCTGGAAGTTACGAGAAGGAACAGTTAAGAACAGTCCGTGGTAGGCGTGGGGAAAGGAAGATGGTTTGGGACCAACCCATTGAGGAGCACATGGGTGGTTGAGTCTGTGATGCCTTTGTTAGATAGATGTGTCAGGCCGGAGCTAGGAAAGAATGGAAGATAAAGAAATCAAGAGCTCACATAAAGCCTTTGTGGATGCGGTCAGCTTTACGGGAGATTTGCAGTGGGTAGGCAGGAGTGGGGAAGTTGACATTATTGCAGTGCCAGGAGTGTTGCTGTCACATACTGGGTGTCTCTAGCCGTAAAATGCGTTTTGGTCACCATCACAAGGGAGGTCAAGGCTCCTGTAACCTGGTGGGCCCTTTGCCCTCCTCCCCTGCCTCTTTGTCTCCTTTTTGATCGCTCCCCTCAAAATCCTGGTACTTTTAAATTTTATTATGTAGAGCCATTTAATTTTCCCTGGGGCTAAAGTTCTCTTTAGGCCTACCTTCCTATATCAAAATCCAAGATTTCTAGAAGAATCAGAGATCTCATCTAATAGGTTTACTTAGGAAGTAATTTTGGTTCTAAAAATAGATGTATATAGGCATATTTTAAATACATATCTGTGTATATCTTGCATATACAGGTACAGTTGTAGAAGACTTAGTCAGGCCTAAAATGATTCTGTTAAGGGGCCTGGGAGATTGACAAACTCAATCCCCTTCAGCTTTCCTGTCATATGTGTCTCTTCCTCAGAAAGTACAAAACTGGAAAAATATGTGGTTACATAAGTTTGTTGGTCAGTCGAGTTAGAAGAAACGGCTGTTTTGTTTATTCACTGATGAGAAGTTGTTAGGAATTTTTTAAGAAGCAAATGTTGGTGATGTTCATTATGGTGACAGTGATAGAAGCATCCAGTCAGTGTGTTTTTAAAGAGGCAGATATGTAGGCTCTGTCTGCAGAATGCACACTTCGTAAGAGCAGGGATCCTGATTTGCTCACTGCAGTAGAGTCCCCAAGTCCCAAAACCAAAGATACTAATGTATGCATGAGTAAATGAACTGGATCCATTGACTTTGATCTGTCTTGGCCCACAGATATACTGAAATCTTTGGAACAGTCATTGGTCAGAGGGAAAACAAAAGAGGCATTTGAGCCAGCCAAGCCACTTAAAGTACTCTGTGTTCTTATAGAAGATACCGGAACTATAACAGAATTTATGGTCATTATGATTCAGTTATTTTAGTGCCAGCTGCTGTAATTTATTTGCATGATTCCCTTTTTCTCCCCTTTTACTGTGATGGTGGTAGGGTGTAGTTGGGAAGAAAGGTTTCTGTAGGGGCATTGCCTTGTTCAGAGCTAAACTGATGACACCTGTATTGTCATTTTGTCCTCTTATTAGTAAAACTCCAGACCCGATAAGAGATGAGAAGAGGAGCAGAAGTGTTGTGGGTGGAGAGGGCCAAGCATAGTTCACACCTTAATTTCCCCACCCTTGAGGTCTCCTTCTATTTTTTCTGATAATCAGGGTCCCTCATCAAAGTAATTATGTGGGAGAATTTTGTTTCTCAAAATTGGACTGGGAAGGTGAAAGAATTAGAAACAAGTGCAGAAAATAGGCGATAGGCAACTAAAACTTTACCTACACACAATATACATGCCTATCTATACTATAGGAATTATGTATATCGTGTATTTATGTGCTTATCAATATGTATAAGCCTAAACTATCATGTGTCCACTTAAAAAGCATGCCACTTTTATGTAAACAAATTAGGTTTTGTTTTCTCTATTGAAAGAGTAATCTTAGAGTTCTTTTAAATAGCAAATTTCCCTAAAGTATATAATAGGGGGTATTGTAAAAAAAAAAAGTTTATAAACAAACTATGAGGACCTGTATCTTATGTAAAACAGGTGTGTGGTGGTGGTGGTTTAGTAGCTAAGTAGTGTCTGACTCTTGCAACCCCATGGACTGTAGCCTGCCAGGCTCCTTTGTCCATGGGATTCTCCAGGCAAGAATACTGGAATGGTTTGCCATTTCCTTCTCTAGGGGATCTTTCCGATCCAGGGATAGAACCTGAGTCTCCTGCATTGCAGGCAGTTTCTTTACCAACTGGACTATAAACAGGTGTCTACGTGGCTTTAATAAAGCTTTCAAAGGCTCTGTTGGTTATCACTTTGTTTTACTGATAAAAGTAAAGTAAGTCTGGTATATATTTTACCCCATGCCCCCTTTACCCCTCAGATTGGGATTTTGGCTACCAAAATTAAAAATTAATCCTTTATCAGAGTTCTTAAGCCTGTTCAATTGAACTGTCTAATTATTGAACAAATAAATTGAAGTGCTTATGTCTTATTTCATTATTTTAGTCTAACCATTGCCACTTTTCTTCCACATGATTTTAATGTTTGTAGATTTCCAATTTAATTGTATTCAAAAAGCAGCATACATGATGGGATCAACACTGGGCTGTGTGGGACATAAAACATTCTCTGCCCTTGGAAAGATTAAAATCTTAAAAGACGTTAAGTCAGAGTTAATCATTCTAAGGCAGAAGATAGATGGACCCTGGGTTAGACATTTACAACTAGCCTCCTGTTTATGCTTTGAGACAAAGATAATAACAGGAACAGGATAAGCAGCTGGATTTAGTCTCCTGTGGACACTAAGATAACAGTGGTGGCAGGAGCAGAGAAGGGCTGAGCCCTGCCTCGGTAAGGAGGTCGCACATTCCTCATTCTTGGGGTCAAGGCAGTCTCCCAGACTACACATGCGCAGAAAGGGTCCTCAAGGGAG